TGTCGAAAGGGTGTCTATACTTGAAGAAACTTGCAAGTCTCAAGCCGAATCTCTTAAACGAAGACATGACGATCAAGATGTTCCTGATAGTCATTAGGGGGAGAGAAAAAAACAGAGATTGGCTGAGACATCTCTACAAGGTGCAAGATTGGGTGAAGAGTCACTACCTCAGGACGTAACTACTGAAGGTTCTGCCCYGAAAAMAATTCGGGAAAGAATAATTGAGGCTGTCGTTATTGAAGATGAAAAAGTGGAGGCAAGTCCAATGATCAAGCCAATGGTTGAAAAGCCGGCGGACTCCACAGTAGAAACAAGGTTGTTAATGGACTTGTCTGCCAATGTAGGGTTCAACAGTGCATTCTCTACTACTTTGGGTGGAGAGCTGGATTTTGGTGAAGACGTTGATAACATTGACGAGTCAACTGGAATGTATTTTGATTTTGAAGCTGACTTAGATGAAGAAGATCTAGTTTTTCCCGTTCAAGGTGATCCTCAGTCTATTCCAGAATCGTGTACTGCTGCTTTACCTGACGTGCCTGAAGTCAGTACTCCAAGAGAAACTGTTGATCCTACTGAAATCTTCTCAAAGAATTACATTCCTTTCCATATCAGAGCAAACTTCTTTGGTTATGATCGCGAAAGAATTCGAGANGAAACTGTTGATCCTACTGAAATCTTCTCAAAGAATTACATTCCTTTCCATATCAGAGCAAACTTCTTTGGTTATGATCGCGATAGAATCCGAGAGCCATACTTGGAAGATATCTACTTTGGGATATTCATTCGTCACAGAAAATTGCTTAGTGGTGACAGAGTTCTAGGAATCCACAARAAGCCAAAAGATTATCGAATTGAATATCGTCACCTCTTGAAAGCCAAGTGCCAGCCTATCAGTAAAGTTCGTACAAAGCATAAAATTGTCACGATCAAACAAATTGATGCTCAGAAACTGTTAAGAATTTGGTATCCGGTGTTTACAGTTACAAGGCAGGATGGCCAGATCTGGAGATTCAGCGAAGCTGATTTCTCGAACTTATATTTAGATGACCTCGAATACATGTACTTTGAACTCAAGAACATGACTGTTAGAAAGGAAGGATAACTGGTAGCTCTGGATGCAATTAAGAGATTCATTTGAAATCATGTAAAGCTGTCAATGGTTATTGATGTTCAAATGGGTCTTGAAGACAGTCAACGAATTATCAATCTCAAAAGACCTAATCAAGATTTAGAAGACATTGACGGCTATCCAGTCTACATGGTTCTTGAGAGCCCAGAGTTCGGAGTCATCTATTTCGCTCAACTTCAAGTCAAAAAATTCATGAGATTCAGTGAGTTGAACAAGTATTCTGACGGTACGATTAAGCTTGTAAGAAGGGCGCTGCACTTGAAAAGGGTGATGGATGATAAGGCTGCGGAATCTGAACGAATGAGTTCCAAAGAAAGATACTTGCTCGTCAACGCTATAAATTTGCTCGAGGAGAAGATTCAWTACAGAAATGCTCTGAGAAGGTTAGAGAAAATCCTTGGACTGCGCAAAACGAAGTTTACAAGAGTCCAAACTTGAATCCAAAGGGGGAGAATGTTGGGTTCAAGTTAGTGCTTTAATGTTGTATTCAAGTTTCTCCTTAGTATAGTTGTTTTGTGATTCCTTGTAATTGTAATTAACAATCGTTATTAGCAGATTGATCAAGATTAGTACTGTAATATTCTCTCTCTCAATCTAATCATCTTTTGACAATCTTCTTTCTACCTTTATGTTCATCATGATCTATGAAGATTATATCATGTTTGTATGAAATCTAGACTCATCATATGCACACCATGGGATTCGAACCCGTGACCTGCTCTGATACCAATTGTTAAGTCCAAGATTCATACAAATATGATAAGATCTTCAAGAATCAAGATGAATAGAATAGTAGAGAGAATATCATCAAAGATTGATTTGATTGAGAGAGAGAAAATTACAGCTCTAATCTTGATTACAATTCTGCTAATGACTTTGTAATGACAACTACAATGAAAATACTATTTATACTAAGGAAAATAGTAAAGCTACACTATTACAAAGCAAGTAAAATAAACGAGAAACTTGAATACAACATTAACGCTCTTACTTAAACCCAACAAGGATCACGCTCACCAGAAAACTTGGGAGGTTTACAAGCAAGCAACATTTTGATATCTCATCCTTTTTGTACTGAGGACGAAGTAAGGGGTACAGATGTACCAGTTACTGGTGTACTAGCTCCGGCTTCCTCCTGATAATCGGGACTTCTTACTACTTCTGGATTATTTCGAGTTGTACGTCCCAACAAATTCACCAAACTTTCTTGGAACTCTCCCAATTCTGCTGCCAACATTTCTTGGGTAATAAATCTAGGATCAGGAACATTGTTCCACCCCTTGCTCTTCCTCTTCCATGACCAGACATTGAACTTTCTTGAGCTGACAGTTCTTGTTCTTGTCTAGTATCTCTACCTCTTCCTCAACCATTGCTACAACTTCGCGTTTCTATTGTCATTACATTTTCCAGGTCCTCTCCTTGTGTTACGTTTCTTCTTCCCCGACCTCTTCCATAACCAGTAGAGGTCCTTTCTGATTGATTGGGATTATCTGCCATTTCTCAGTATATAACTCCTTTTGTCACATTTAAACACACATGATTATTTTCATAATCAAAAGATAATAACACATTCATCCTCAAGCCTATCCATAACTCAGATTATATCAATCATATATAATCTATCTTTCTCATAAGAGGTTCAGCTATAACATATTTCCCATGTTCATAGACCCAATGAAACCTATTATCATAACTTTCCACACCTCTAGTTTAAGTCTAAGTATTTCGCAAATACCCCGATCCTTTAAACTAAGGCTTTGATACCAACTGTAACAACCCACATATTCTATATACCGATAATCCACATATATATACTCATAACACAGAATGAAATATCATTTACAAAACCTGTGCTAAACAAAGATTCTCTTGAATACATTTATGAGCAACTAAATGTAATTTATTCTAAACTTTTCCCTTTCCTTTATCTTGCGAGGTATGATGACCTGCAAAACAGGTTAGTCCAACAACTAGGCATTAGACCAAATAGGTCTAGTAAGTGTATAAATCTCAAACGAATAACATACTTTCCAAACAATCAGTTCAGAATCAAACCTATTCAAATACATATACTTATTTATATCTCTCGTGGTTACACCGCCATTACATCTCTCTCGCGGTAATACCGCCATTACATCTCTCTCGCGGTTACACCGCCAATTCATCTCTCTCGCGGTTACACCGCCATTACATCTCTCTCGCGGTTACACCGCCATCAGATCTCTCTCGCGGTTACATCGCCATCAGATCTCTCTCGCGGTTATACCAAAAATTCTCACACATTAGCCGGATTTGAAGTCCGGTCAACCTTGTTCGGATAGGAAGTCCGGACAAACACTTAAAATATTAAGAGGGTTACATCGACCACGCCTTGAACGATTTAACTTTAAATTGGACAACACTTAGGCGATTTAGGGCTTACATCGAACAACACATGAGCGGTTCAAGAATAAACCGAATTACACTTGGGCGGTTTAAGGAGATATCCGGTCAACTCTTGGGTGATTTATGGTTAATTCGGTCACCCCTTGACCGATTTAGGGTTGAATCCGGACAACGCTTGGCCGGTTTAGATGAAATCCGGTCAGCCTTTGTCCGGTTTAAGGAGAATCCGCACAATATGAATTATAAATCATAATAACCAGTTGCAATAACTGCTAAAATGTATGCAAACAGAAAATACTCAAAGCTTAATACACTCACCTTACAAACGATGTTGAACGGATTTGAACCTGTGATTTACCAGTCTGCAATCTCTCAATTGACTTTTGTACTCAAGAACTTCAGCAACCCTTTATTTCTCATATGCACTTGCTATAAATAGCAAGTGCATAAACCGCCATCACATAATTATATTCCATAATAACCACTCACACACACATCTAATATATATATATATATATTATATATACTAATTTCTAAATCTATAACCAAAATTACGAAACCCGAATATTACACAAATTTACTCAGTTTCCAGAAAATATTTTTCTGATTCCATTAAACCTTGAAGATGGCAAAGCCGATTAGAGATGCATGCAGGATTCTACCATTCTTCAAAACATAAATTTTCATGACCAGACTTTACATGCAATGGGGTTTTCTCCTACTTTCTTAAAGATCGAAGAACACGGATCATAGATTATCATCCTTTTTGAAGACATTTTCAGGTCTTTGATGAACAATCTCCCCTCTTTAATTTTCCAGAAATTTTACTAAAAGATCAAGTAGGAGTAGGAGGATGAAAACTTTTGATATTCGATAAAAGTAGGATAACTAGTATCGTACCTTTTTCTTAGAATCTTGAATATTCTTCAAGATTGACAAAACTTCTTGAAGGTTTGCTTGAAGAAATCGGCTGGAGGGTGGTTTGCTTTAGAGAGATGAAAAGCTTATGCTAAGAATTTGGAAATGAGAGTTTTTCAAAGGATGTGGGGTATTTATATGAGAATTTTAAACAAGGAAATGGGCTGGCCTCTAAAGGCCCAAACGCAAATAAAACTTTTATTATTATATTTTAAATAAGATTAAGCACACTTAGATTCAGAACCCACCAAAATAATTTACTAATAATGACACTATTAAATCCAAAACTCCACCTTTTACTAAAAATCATTTGGACATTTAAATGAGACTTTTGCATGTTAAATTTTAAAATTTTATAATATCAACTTTAATTTATTGGCAGCATTTCTAAAATATTTGGCATTACGCAAGTTAACTTCATCAGTTACCCGCCGAGGCGTGATCTTCCGAACTAAATTTGGGAACTAAGCCAGATGAACTCTAATCATCGTAGATAGATCCTAGAAAAATATAATTCTAAATATAGGACCTAAAATAAGGAGCTAACTTGAAACTTAGAAATGACAGAATGTCACATTCGGCCAATCCAAAAACACTTCAGGACGCTGTGAACTTAGCGACAAAACTCACCAACAATGCTATTCGGTCAGGAGCATTTGCAAATGATAAAGTCAAGGGTAAGAGAAGAATGGAGGAGCCCATGAGAAAGAACTTCTGCGAGAAGGGCGGTAAGGCCAAAAAGGTAATAAGAAACTTTGTGGCTCAGACACAGACAGGAGAAAAGGACAAGGGAACTTACCCTAGGTGTGGCAAGTGCAATAATCACCATGGTGGGAGATGCATCATCTGTCTCAGATGCAACAAAGGAGGTCATTTCGCTAGAGATTGCTGGAGCGGAGGGAGACGAACCTGCCATGAGTGCGGAAGCCTGGATCACTTTAGGAATGCATGCCTAAGACTGAACCGAGGGCCAGTTACTAACCCAACACGACCAGTCAACCAAGGAAATCAAGGAGGCCAAGAACTAGGTCGAGCGTTTGAGATTGGGGTAGAAGAAGCCAGGCTAGACTCAAACGTAGTCATAGGTACATTCCTCCGGAACACTCATTACGCATCCGTATTATTTGATTCTGGAGCAGATAAGAGCTTTGTGTCACTAGGATTTAGACCAAAGATTAGTTTAAAGTTGCAAAAGCTAAAAGAAGATTTTGTTATTAAGTTTGCTGATGGACAGGAAGTTAGGACTAATGACGTAATCACGAATTGTACCTTACGTTTAGCCGAGCAAGACTTTAGCATAGACCTTATTCCAAACAGATTAGGAAGCTTTGATGTAGTTGTGGGTGTGGATTGGCTATCCAAAAATCAAGCCGATATATGTTGTTCTAAGAAGACCATCCGAATATTTAAAGGAAGGGAAACGCTTGTGGTGCACGAAGAGAAGTCCCATAGAAATTTCAAGTTAGTAACATGTATGAAGATGCGAAAATACTTGAAAAAGTAATATGTCGCGTTTATGGCTCACATTGTGGATAAGGAATCGAAGAGAAACGCATCCAGGATTTTCCCATAGTTCGGGATTTTCCCAAGGTATTTCCTGATGAGCTGCCAGGATTACCCCCGTTACGGCAAGTCGAATTCCACATTGACTTAATTCCTGGAGCAGCATTCGTAGCCAAATCACCTTATCGTTTGGCACCCTCGGAAATGAAAGAATTGTCAGAACAACTAAAGAAGCTACTCGACAAAGGATTCATCAGACCCAGCTCTTCACCCTGCGGAGCTCCAGTATTATTTGTTAAAAAGAAAGACGGATCCCTTCGAATGTGCATCGATTATAGGGAACTCAATAAGCTGACCATCAAGAACCGATATCCCCTTCCTCGAATTGATGACTTGTTCGATCAACTTCAAGGTGACACTTACTTTTCAAAGATCGATATTCGATCCGGATACCATCAGATGAGGGTCCGTGAGGTAGATGTTCCTAAGACGGCGTTCAGAACTCGTTATGGTCATTATGAATTCTTAGTTATGCCCTTTGGGTTAACTAACGCGCCAGCACTCTTCATGGATTTAATGAATAGGGTATGTAGGCCATATTTGGATAAGTTTGTGATTGTATTTATAGATGACATACTGATCTATTCGTAAAACAAGGAGGAGCATGAACAGCACTTAAAGTTGATACTTGAGCTGTTAAGGGATCAGAAATTGTATGCCAAGTTCTCCAAATGCAAATTTTGGATTCGTGAGGTGCACTTCCTTGGTCATGTGGTAAATTAGAAGGGAATTCATGTTGATCGTACCAAAGTTGAGGCTATAAAGAAGTGGGAAGGCCCAAGGACCTTGACAGAAATTCGCCAATTTCTCGGTTTAGCAGGTTACTATCGCTGTTTTATTTCAAATTTCTCCAAGATTGCACAACCATTGCGGCATTAACCCAGAAGGATAAGGAGTTCATGTGGGGAGAAAAGCAAGAAGAAGCATTCCAATTGCTCAAGCATAAGCTATGTCACGCACCGATCTTAGTCCTATCAAAAGGTATAGAGAATTTTGTGGTATACTTCGATGCGTCACACCAAGGCTTGGGATGTGTGCTGATGCAAAATGACAAGGCATTGCTTATGCATCAAGGCAACTCAAGGTTCATGAAAAGAACTACACCACTCACGACTTGGAGCTAGGAGCAGTGGTGTTGGCACTCAAGATTTGGAGACATTATCTCTGCGGCACCAAATGCACCATCTTCACTGATCACAAAAGTCTTCAACATATCCTAGATCAAAAGATGTTGAACATGAGGCAACGAAGATGGGTTGAACTTCTCAACGATTATGATTGTGAAATACAGTACCACCCGGGGAAAGCTAACGTGATAGTAGACACCTTAAGCCGGAAAGAAAGGGTGAAACCGTCAAGGGTATGAGCCATGGGGATGCTGATTCAAACGAACCTAAAAACATAAATTCTTGAAGCTCAAAAAAGGCGTTGAAAACGGAGAATCTGAAGAATGAGACCTTGCATCACTTAGAGAAGGAATTTGAAACTCGAGCAGATGGGGTGCGTTACTTTAGAGATAGAGTTTGGATACCAAAGGACGACAGCCTTTGGTCAACAATTTTGGAGGAAGCACATTGCTCAAGATACTCAATCCACCCAGGAACCGATAAGATGTACAAAGAGCTAAGAGAGTATTACTGGTGGCCAGGAATGAAGAAGGACGCTGCTTTATACGTAATCTGATGCTTAACATGCGAAAGGGTAAAAGCTGAGCATCAGAAACCATCTGATCTCCTTCAGCAACCAGAGATTCCCCAATGGAAGTGGGATCAAATATCGATGGACTTCCTTAGTAAGTTACCTAAGACTACGAAAGGATATGACATAATTTGGGTCATAGTGGATCTGCTTACGAAATCCGCGCACTTTTTACCTGTTCGAGAAGACTTAGTACGGAAAGGCTTGCACAGTTATATATCAATGTAATCGTATCGCGTCATGAACTACCTATTTCTATCATCTCAGACAGAGATAGCCGTTTTATTCACGATTATGGCGATTAGTTCAAAAGGCACTAGGCACAAGGATGGACTTAAGCACTTCCTATCATCCTCAAACGGATGGGCAAATAGAAAGGACTATCCAAACGCTAGAGGATATGTTACGAGCCTGTGTGATAGACTTTGGAGGCAGTTGGGATACTCATCTACCATTGGTTGAATTTTCCTACAACAATGGCTATCACACCAGTATCCAGTGCGCACCGTACGAAGCCTTGTATGGGCGTAACTGTAGATCCCCACTCAGCTGGTTGGAAATTGGTGACAGACAGCTGACTAGACCTGACATTATCCAAGAGACAACCGACAAAATCTCGATCATCCAAGAAAGACTTAAAGCTGCAAGAGATCGTCAGAAGAGCTACGCTGACAACCGCAGGAAATCGTTGGAATTTCAAGTGAGTGATAAAGTCCTTTTAGAAGTATCTCCATGGAAAGGAATTGTGCGCTTCGTAGAGAAAGGAAAACTTAGCCCAAGGTATGTTGGTCCATTTGAAATACTCGAAATAGTAGGACCGGTTGCATACAAACTAAACTTGCCTCAAGAACTTAGTGCTATCCATGATACATTTCACGTAGAAAACCTTAAGAAATGTTTAACCGACAAAACATTGGTTCTACCTTTGGAAGACACTCAAATTAATGAACGGTTACGCTTCGTTGAAGAGCCGATCGAAATCCTCGACCATAAAGTCAAACAACTGAGGCATAGTAAGATTCTGATTCTGAAATTCGATGGAATTCAAGGCATGGACCTGAGTACACTTGGGAAAGGGAGGACTTTATGAAAAATAATTACCCGCAGCTTTTTATGAAAGAACCAATTGGTGATGCCAACAGTTAAATTTCGGGGCGAAATTCCTCTAACAGGGGGAAGCTGTGACATCCGAAAATTTAAATACTAGGTTGTAGCTAGATAGCACTTTAGAAATATTATTAACACTCAAGTAGAGCGATGAGAGCTTAAGTAGCTAGAAATCCCGGTAGGTTGCGTAGAAAACACTGTTTTGACCCGTAATGAACCGAATCGTCTTATAAAATGCCAAGCACTCCAAATAATTTTTAAAACTTGCATAAAATATAGAGTTTTCATATTTTAAATATTTTTAATTAAAATTACATTTAAGAAATTTATTTAAATCATAAAATAGGAATTTGGGCATTTTYCTCAATTTCTCACAAAAGTACCCAACTTAATAAATTTTGGGCTAAGCTTTCTCTAAAAAAATTTGAAGGGAGGCCCATAGGCCCACTCCATGGCCACCCCCCTTTCTACCTATAAAACTTTTTTTGAAACTTGAAACTCTCATTTTCTCATTTATCTCTCAACCCTTCACCTCCTAACTCTCCCTCCATCTTTTTCTTCAAGCAAAAAAATTCAGCTTTTCATTGAGAAGAAAAGGGAATTCAAGAAATAAAACTTGAAGAAATCATCCTCTTTTCATCAAAGGTAAGAACTTGTTAGTATTTTGGTTTCATTTTATGCACTTTTAGTKCCATTTTCTTGTCATTTTCATACTTTTAAGTATGCAAAGAAGAGGTGTTCTTCATTCTAAGTTCTAAGGGTAGATTTTACACCAAAGACATGAAAAATATTCTTAATATGGTGAAATTCGTGACCTAACCATCTAGAACTTTTGAAAAGCAAGAAAAACCCTTCATTTCTTGCATTTTTGTGTCTCTTATGGAATCTGAGTTCTCTTTCATTTTTGTTACCAAGAATATTGTATTTTACATATTTTTATTTTAATATTGAATAGTAGAATGATCTTCTTCCATAAAATCATTATTTTTGAAATTGTGATGCATAAAAACCCATTTTTGCTCAAAAGGATGACTTTCCTTCTGGATAGATTCATTGCATGAGATTGGAACGACCATATCTGGTTGAGTATTGACCCAATAATCATGAATATTTTTCTGCAATAATATTTAGTGTATTATTTTTCAAACCCAAGTGGAATCATGAGAAAATATGATATTATGACCTCACAACACCAAAAACAAAATTTGGTGTGCAACAGTGGTTGGTCAGAAATTTTGTGTCTCATTGTTTATCTATAACTCTTAGAAGACACATCAAAACTCAAGAAATTTTATTTCTRTAGTATATATTAAAGTGTTATATTTAAAAATAATCTAACCCCACCCAAAAACATGGTGATTTAGGGGTTCAACCGATTTTTACAAAATAAGTGTGCAATCTGTCCAGACTTGACAGATTTTCACATGCATGTTTAAACAACCATAACTCCYAAACTATACATCCGAATATAGTGATTCTTTTTGGAAAATCTAGCTTTATGTGTTAGATTTAAAATGATTCATGAATCACTGGAAAATAATAAGTATAACACCTTCAAAAGGGTGTCACATTGAGAAGGGGTTTTCTGTTTTGAATGCTGTAATCACTGTTTTGGTAAAATTTGTTTGAGACCCTTCCACTCATCCATAAATCTTGATTTTTCGTCATAATGATCCTAACTCAGTATACTAAAACATATAAAATGTTTGGAAAAATATACTTCTTGGATGAGGGTGAACCATGGACGTTTTTGAGTCACAAAGATTTTGTCAGCATGCATGATTTCCTAAAAACACTAAAAATTGTACTCTTAAACCATAAACCCCAAAATAAGCTTATAAAGTGCTTAAAACTTGATTTTATTCTTAAAGACATAAAGAGGCATTATATAAGACGTAAAGGTATAATAGTAATCTTAACCTATAAGAGTTTGACAACCATTCATTTTCTATAGGAATTCACTAAAAAGGACTTTACCAAAACATACCATTTGATCACTCAACCATCTTCTCCGTGAAAGAAAAGGTGAGTATTCACGGCCCCTTTTTAAATCCATCATTATTTGGGGGAAAAACATGTATAAAAATAGTTGATGTTTGTATGTAATGTGTTTAAATCATGGATACAAATTGATTA